ACCTCGTTGGAGCAGTAGGCCACGTAGGGGTGGAAGTGCCGCTCCGCGTGCTCCGCCAGGATGTCGCTGATGTCCTCCACGCACACCTGCGCCTTGTGCCGGCGCTCCAGGTCCTCGAAGAACCTAGGCGGGCGGGGACCGTGGCTGACTGCCCACGCCGCATGTGTGAGCGCACACACAAACATAAACACATACCCATGCACAGACACACATGCACAAACATGCGCACACACACACATGCAAACATGCAAACACACATGCACACTGACATGCGCACGCATGCACACTGGCACGCACACAAACATGCCCACACATGCAAACACGCACACACAGAGACACACATGCAAACATGCACACATATGCACATGCACACACAGACACAAACATGTACACACACACACACACACACACACACACACACACACATGCCCAGCTCAGCTCCGGAGCAGCACACATGTGGACGGACCCCACTGGCCCAGGAAATCCCCAGGACAGATGAGCTGCTGGGACGTGCAGTGACTGGCACAGCCGCCTGGCCAAACCCGAGGCCACGCCCCTCCAGGCCGGGCAGGAGGTGTGGGCCCCGAGGGATGCTGGCGGCAGGACAGAATTTCATTCTGACATGACTCCCGGGGACTTGGTTAGAGGCGCCAGGACCTGCCTCGGGCCCAGCAGCTACCCTCCCCCCCCCAGCTCAGCGTGGTGCCTCTGGACAGACGCCCTGGAGGGGTCAGCCACACACTGCCCTCCGGGGTCCCCGAGGCTCAGTGCACCCAGGCCTTGCAGGGAGGAGAGGACGCCGGAGCCACCGTCTGGAGGGTCTGGCCCAGGCTCTGCTCCCACAGGCAGCTGCTGCCCTGGGGCTGGCCCGAAGGTCATGTGCTACACAGGCACCGGCTGCAGTCTCCAGGGCACCCTAACTGCAGGCAAGCGCCGGACCCCAGGCCCCACACCTGTCCCGGATGGGCCAAGGCGGCTGGGGGGCCCCCCACCCCGAGGCTCTGTCCTGAGCAGTCCCTCCCTGGGGCCTGGGCCGAGGCCACGCCCACGCCAGCGCCTCTCAGTCCTGCTGAGTTGGGCGCCCGAACAGTCCTGCCTGGAGATAAGGTGCTGGCTGACCTCCGAGGGCAGAGGGCAGAGTCCCAGAGCTCAGAGCCACACGGGGACCTCAGGTGGCCCGCACCCCTCATCAAAGAGTGACCAGCTGGGGCCGCAGCCCTTACAGCTCACCCGTGGGGGGAGGGGAGACGCTGGTACCCAGACAGGGAGGTGGGGTGAGTCAGCCCCACCCAGGACCTGCGGCCAGGGCACCACCCGGGAGGAACATGGCCTCTCACCGACCTGTGGGCCCCTGGAAGCTGGGGCCCGGCTCGGGTCACCCTGGCAAGGCCAGTGAGGGGGGCAATGGGGGGCGTGGGCCTCGGCTGGGGTCCCTCAGGCCCCTGTCACAGGCCCGGCCTGACCTCCTGCCACAGGGACCAGGATCCCTTTCCGTGGAATGTTCTGAGGCTGACGGGCAGCCCGGCAAATGGCTCAGTGTGTCAGGACAGATGGGGACCCCACCCCCAGCCCCAGGCAGGCGTGCTGGCCAGCACCCCGTGGACATTCTGGAGGGCTCTGAGAAGGGGCTGGGAGGTCTGAGACGGCCCTGAGCCACTGACCCAAAGTAGCCGAATCACCTGGAGGCCACCGTGAATGGCCACAGTGCATACCTGGACTGTGCCCGCCACAGGAGTAACACACAGCTGTGCCCCCATGTGTGCACACACACGCACACACACTCATACACAATGTGTTCACACACACATGCAAACAGCTGCTACCCACGCACACCTGCTGCCACACGTGTACCCACATGTGCACATGTGCACGCACACACAGCCCCACGCAGGCCTGCAGCTGCACGCCCTGCCCCTCCTCCACCTCCTGCCCTGCAACCAGAGCCCTGGGCCAGGCACCAGACACCCCAGGAGGAACATGACCCGGGCGACGAGAGGCCACCTCCCACCTCGCCCTGTGGGTGCCTCGCGCCTGGCCATGCAGCCCTCTGGGCCAGGGTGCCCCGGTGGGAACGTGCCTATCCTTGGACAGAGCCATGTCCCACGGGAGACGTCCCCCTCTAACCTCAGGGGACAGGGTGCAGGGGCCCAGGACACCCACAGTCCGGCGCTCAGCTCTCCCGGGGCCGCTCTCTGCCTCAGGGCCCAGGAGGGTCTCACCGCCCCC